AAGCACCTTTTGTGTAAACAGCTCTGTGCTAAGTGCTGAGAAAGATAGTATTTTTTTTATAAATTCACACTTAATAAAGACATAAAATTAAGCTGCCTAACATAGGACAGTCATCCAAAAATATAACCAATGTAAAATAACTGCAAACCTTATGAATCATAATATATTATGAAATATGTAATGGCAATTTGCTGAAATGATGAAAGGTGATGTAATAGGTACTAACAGACTATGGTGATAATATAGTCTAAAAAGAAGGGTTAGAATAAGAATTGATTAGTGTTTTTCCAGCAATGTCCGGGGAGTAGGTGCTTGCTTACAATGCAAATATCTAAACTATTCAGCAGATCCATCTCATTTAGTGAAGGATTCCCCAAGTTGGATGAAAAGATTATTGAAGATCATATCCTTTGCTGTAGTTCCATATGCACTAAGCAACCTTTTCATCTTAGTTCCTCTCCAGAGAAACCAATGATTTGTTAGCATGAATAGTGATTTACTTATATTTATATTTTATATTATATATTATAATATTTTAATATGCTTTGTAATATTATTAAGTTAGCATTATGATACACATGTCTTCTCAGTTAAAAATCTAGGTAGGATAAAGTATCTACTCAAGGCTGGATCATCCTTGTTAAGGTTACTAGGCCTGTAGATCAGAGACTTGGGGTCTAGCAGAGATGCAAGAAATAGCCTTCAAGCTTTTCACCAGGCCTCCTTTTTCTTGTCAGTATTACACCATTTTAGCAAAGTGGAGGTGGTAAAGGAGGTGGAAGGTTGGCAAGTGAACACAGCTGGGTCTTCTGTAGCAGGAGAGCACAAGACATTTTTATACACATGAGAGCTACCTATAGCCAAGATACTTAAGATAAAATGTGGTATAGTGGATAGAGTTGTTCTGTGAGTAAATAAGGCCTGGGTTCAAGCATAGGATCTAACACATGCTAGCCAAATTAGCCTGGGAAAAAAATCAATAAAGCCAGGAAACTCTCTAAGACTTTCAGTTGGAGAGCAAGTGGAAATTTTTATTGGCAGATTTTCCTTATCAGGAGTTTTCTTATGCCAAAAAAAACCCCACAAAAAATAAAAAACAACAACAAAAAAACCCAGGTGATTTTTAAAAAGGTGATGCAAACAATTAATATTTAGTAGTTTGCACAATGTTGGGGGAGTAGTTTATAGTATAAACTTTTATATAGTATAAGTATAAACTTTTATACTATAAAACTACCCTGCAAACATAATAATGAAATGAAAAAGTGAGAAGTATTCAAACTATGCTTGCAATGTGACCATAACGACTACGGTAGTCTTGGGTCTCTGGAGATTTCTTTTGTGTGTATGTCAAGGTACCTGGCTAATATACTGTTTCTTGGGGAAGGCAGCTTAAAGAAAGGTTATATGACTCCTATCAACCTCTTCTCAAAATCATGTTCTTAAATGCATAAAACAAAATACATAGGAATATGAGGGAAAACAATTATATCAAAATATAGTCATCAAAATATTAAAAGAACAAGTTCACAAATTCTAGGCTAAGAACATCTATTTTAGTATGGCCTTCAAGTCACTGTATCAGAAGTCTAGAAACAAAAAGAAATACATGGAGACATTTATGACCACTTTCCATTTTCAGATTCAGCCTGAATAGAATTTACTCCTAGTAGGAAATGTCCAATAAGGACTTTAAGTGGCTATGCTATTTACCATAGTTTCTATTTATTTTAAACAAAAGCTGGTTAGCATTTGACTAGCTCACAATGCAATTTATTTTATATTTGACCAAACGTCATGGCCATGGTAAAAAAATCAATGGAGGCAATGTCTACATATATGACACAGAACCACTTAGAGAATCATTCCAATTAAAACTTTCAGCCAAACAGATTAGTTGAATCTACTTATGTGAAAATATCATTAAGAGTGCCTGATCTAGGGGCAGCTAGGTGGCGAAGTGGATAGAGCACTGGCCTGAAATCAGGAGGACCTGAGTTCAAATCCAGCTTCAGACCAAACACCTGACACTTACTAGCTGTGTGACCCTGAGCAAGTCACTTAACCCCAATTGCCTAAGGAAAAAAAAAAGAGTGCCTTCCAAAATACACACGGACTTAACCAAGTAGAACTCTGGTGACTGGTTGGATTGAAAGTTATAGTTACAATGATTCTTGTGCAAATGTGTGAGTAATCACACACTTGGTCAATATAATCATTTGATCATAGGTCTGAAGAAGTTCAGAAAACAAAAAAAAAGTCAAATTTCATCATTTCCACCCTTGACTCTCTTCAGCAATGACATTTCATCTAACATCTCAACTTTCTGCAATTTTGATATATACCTGGTGAATGAATCTCCTTTTTAGATGACAAATCCCTTTACAGAGGGATCTAAAATGAAAGGATTTACTAAAATCAACTTATAAAATATAAATTTTGAGGAAGAAAAAATGCAGAGAAATCAAATTTATTTAATAACTAAAGCATAATGAGAAGTACAAAGTTTATTTTACTTTTTATGAAATGGTGAAAACTGGGATAGGGCAGAAATAATGGTAGTAAATATAATACAAATTAAGTATGAATTGTTATATGATGATATAGTGGATATTTGTGTTGGGAAAGGTGGAGGTTCCCTTCATTTGTTATGAGGTAATATAAAACAAAATGATGCATTAATAATATTTTCAGGCTATTTTATTGTCTTTAATGAACTGCTTGACATTTTACAAATCTTCAGAGTTACCATTTTACTGTCAATACCGTATTATTTATAATAAATACACTGAAACATGAAAAGACACTTCTGATAAAAATACAAAAGATAGAAACATCAATACTAGGTCTGGAATGGAAGGACAGTGAAACCTTTTTTATAACACTGGTGTGGATGAACAGAGATAACTGTAAACCGAACCATGTTATATCAGGCTTTTACTATATGATACAATTATGATTTCGGGAACATTATTTGACCCATGGTATGTCCTGAACTATGTAATAATGAGCCATATTGTAAGAGAGTTCTATCACATACAATGATTTGAAAATGATTGCCAAAGCAAGGAACTGGTTTTTTTTCTGAGAATTTGGTGAGCTTCATGCTTTATTGTGCATTAAAAAAGGGTCTAATCCCCCATTCAACTTCAAAAATGTTGTAAAAATATATTTTATAAAGGCTCAAGATCATAATATGTATCAAAATGATACATATTACTGTGCTTATTAAATGAATCCATCAGTTAATTGAGGGATAGTTTACTTTTTAAAGATATACCTTAAGTATGTACAAAGGTTACATAAATGTTAACAATTTGTGACCAAAATTAATTAGTTTTTAATTTGCAAAAATCCCTGGAGATTTTCAATTTAAAAATTTAAGAAAGTTGTAAGTATCACATGTGGGATTGGCTTTTTGTCATTTGGAGTAAGAAAGGGTAGATGGCTTCAGGCTTGGTTTTTTTTTTTATTTTGTTTTTTAACAGGAAAGTATGGATTGTTCTCAAATGAGAAATTACAAAGTTTTGATCAATAAAAGGAATAAACCACCAAGATCTTTAGAAAGAATAAACTGCCAACATTCAAACCCAGACCAGAATGTAGTAGGTACCAAAAAAATATATATAAATGTATCTCCAAAACAGATAGTCTTTCAAGAAAAGCCCTTGAGGTAATTCTCCTCATTGCCCTTACAAACAAATGAACAATCTGAGTGACTGTCTGCCTGGTATAATCCTTTCAAAAAAACTCAGGCCCTGACCTGAGTTCACTCAGACAGCCTTATGTTGATACTTTGAAGCAACATTCTGTAGCTAAAATGGGAAATTAGACTTTTTGGCTAAAAAAAAGGAAAAATAATTCTGTTCAAATGATTGAAAAGGTGCTATGTTTTTTCTGTATAATTTTTAGCTTCATTCCAACATGAACAATCTGTCAACATTTATTAGATCAGTAAAAATAAGCACAAAGAAAATAAGAAAGGAGCGTTAAATATTACCTACATGGAAAATTCACTGTTCCAACATGAAACATTAGATTCTGTGTTTTTAAAAATCAGCTTTAAGAAAGAAAGAAAGAAAATTTCCAGTTGAGTGACGATATTTTGGCTAACAGAAAAAAATGTGTACTTTTTGGATTTTGTTATGTTCTTCTGACAAAATGTATCTGTATTAAAGGCACTTCAGCATAGTATTAACTCCTTGACCTTTTCCATGCCATAACCATTTAAGCCACTTCAATGCATCTTCTAAATGGGTGAAAATGATGAATATTCACTTATTGTACATCTTAGTCCACTCTAAAAATTATGCTTAAGGATTATCCAAGGTAATTAACTCTTGAATTGGTTGGAACAATTAATATCTATGATAAAAAAAAACAGATATCAAATGTGTGGCAAGAGCTTTAAGTTATTCAGGCAAATACATCAGAATAAAATTGTTATCAGAAAGTTGTTTCACAAGTAGAGATGTATCTGGAAATATGTCATTCTGGGACATGAGCTAACGTTACATATTTCATTTCAATCTATCATTTTATTAAAGGTCCTTATACATTCTACCACACTCTTTTATTTTGTTGGTTAGAGGAAAAGGAATTCCAAATATTTTATTTTCTCAGAGAATGAAAAAAGAAAGAGGTCAGTTTGTGGTACTTGACACAGATCATCTAATTTTATGATGGTTGACAACTGAATTGAAAGAGCTTAGGCTAGCTATAAAACAGTTCTATCACACTGAAGGATAAATCTTTTCAAATAATGAAAGGCATATAGATACGTTACTTCTAAAATGGTAATTTCATTTTTTAAAAATGTATTTTAGGTTTTTGATGATTCAAGATGAAAGTTTCTCTACTTTTATGAAATTTATATTTTTTCTAAGCATCTTTGATGAATACCAACTAAAAATTTTGAATAGATAACAATTTTTTTTTTTGGTGAGACAATTGGGGTTAAGTGACTTACCCAGAGTCACACAGCTAGTGAATGTTATGTGTCTGATGTTGGATTTGAACTTAGGCCTTCCTGACTCCAGGGCCAGTGCTCTATCCACTGTGCCACCAAGCTGCCCCCAGATAACTAGTATTTTGAAGATATTTTTAGAGTATGTGGAAAACTGCATCATTTTTCTGCTAGCCAAGATACAATATCCCATCTGAGAAAATTAACTTTACCACAATATTTCAAAAGTTTATTTTCTTCTTTTAAATGAAATTTTAAGTTAAATTTGTAGTATTCATGAAAAGTTTTTTCATTGATTGAGACTATAACTTGACAACCTCACTATGGCTGAGTTTGAAGGAGCTTAAATAATACATTCTTTCAGAAACTGATTTTTAGCATTAATGAAATAAACATGTTATAAGAAAATAAAATTTGAAACTGCTTGGGTTGGGTGAAAAGAAAATTCCTTGACATTTACCTCAATTCACTTATCAAGAGAAAAAGATAAAAAATAATCATAATTATTATTTTCAATTATCAGAATACAGGGCATTTTCCTCTCTAAGCAATTCTACCAAGTAACCACCGGCCCAATTTAGGTGAGTTAGGGGTGGGATTATTTTGAGGAATAATACACTATACATGCTGCAAATCACACTAAAGAAAAATTCTGTTTCACTTTTACTCTAGAATAATATCAGTCCAAAACATCTATCAAGTTATTTTAAAGCATAAGCAGAGAACAAGGTGATAAGACTCTGGGCATTTCACAAGATTGCAGAAGGGAATATTTTAAAATGTCATTCCAGGCAAGGGCAACATTTTGGGAATCACTTTAGGAGCACACATTTGTCAGCCTCGGCAAAATGCCTGCAATACAAATACATTGAGGCTATTTTGTAATTTGAACTTCCTCATCACTAATAAAAGAAGAAAACAATTAGAGAGTAAAACAGATTGGCAACAAAGCTTTCCTCAGTGGTTTTCTCTGAGTAGCAAATTATATTGTACACTTTACCATCTGCTACTCCTTTTGAAGTCAAAGCTGCAGTTCTTACCTTGAACATACACCTAAGAAATAGCTCAGCTACTCTTTACGGAATTCACATTCCATTTTACAAGACTTAAGACAGCTCAGGAGCTTCCAGGGAAAGTTAATGGGTTAATTTATGGGAATGAGTGGCCTTTCCTCTCTCTTCTTCCAGATATTAGTTTTACTATCTTTTTTAGCCAATGCAATTCTGCCCCTTTTTTTGGTGGGGGACATATTGGCTTCCAAATCTTCAGCTGTGCTTTTTCTTCTTGGTGACTCTTCCACAGGCTGTTCCATGATAGTCCCACTCCCTCCATCTAGAATGTGCCTTAAAGCTGGATCCTCAGGGGAACAAACAGTGGTTCCGCTTTCACTGCTGCTGAGATCCAAATCTTCTAAATAAAGGATCTTAGGTTGATGCAGGCTTTTAATGAATGTTTTCTCCCTCTCAAGTTTTCTACTGGAGTGAAGTTCATTCATGTCCACTCCAGAGTCCAGACTGGTGTCATTACTTTGGGTTCTTCTGCCCTTTTTCAGATCTATAAAGGAATGCCTTACTTGAGCAATTGGCTTTCCATCCAGAGAAACAAACCAGGCTCTGGGGTGTGGTGAGGGCTTTCCTTTGGACAGCTCTAATAGTGTCTGCTCTGAAATGCCTTGAAGTTCAGATGAAAATGGAGTCATCACAACAGCTTCATTCAGTGTCCCTGGAACAGAGACTGACTCTAATAAGCTATTGGAATACCGACTCCAGTCTGAAGTTTGGGATGGTAAGCTTTGTTGAACTTCAGGTGTAATTTTCTCCTCTCTTGTGGCAGGTGGCTGCAAATGAGAATGCACTGGCATTTTGGGTAATGTCTGGGTATAGTTTTCCCGGTTTACTGGCTCCATCAGTTGGCCATAGACTACCTGTCCCTTTCTGGGCAAAGTGGCTGACTTAGCAGAATGCAGCTGTTCTGGAGAGTGAAAAAGGTCAGATGTTTGAAGGATGGCAATTGGCTGGCTATAGATATGCATCAGTTGTTCCGGTATATGAGAAAGTCCATACATTTCTTCATTTACTGAAAGATACCTGTTTTGCTCTTGAGTATCACCTGTAGATGGAGAGACATTGCTATTACTGTGTTTTGGCTGCACTATCTGTCTGGATGCAGCATTGTGCTCTAATGACTGGCTTGAGTTTCTTGAATGACTTTTGTGATTGGCTGACAGAAATGAAACTTCTTCATTGTAGATTTTAAAACTGTCCCGAGTTTTCACTGTAGGGACTCTGTCTTCAGGTTCTGACTTTGTAGAATCCTTTTTGCGAGGATTGTATGGGGAATTCTTAGAGTGGTACAACTGCAATCTGTCCTCAGCTTTTAATGAACTCTTCAATGAACTTATATGGTTTATGTGACTTGTTGATGTAGTCTGGTCCTTCTTAAGGACCTCAAGTCTAGTGGCATTTCTTTCCCTTTTTTGTGATCCACCACATTTATCCCTATTTTGAAAGAAAACACAAATAATTGTTTAGAAGTAATCAAGCAAAAAACCTGCTATTTAAATGAGAATCTTCAAAATAATATCCAGAGAAAAATCAAGCATATTTGGAATATATCTATTTCATATTAGAAAATCATGCATTAAGGAACCAATGTATTCATTATATTTCTGGTTTTGCCAAAGGTCCACATTTACTAACATATCAAACATGCTGAAAGCAAAATGAGCAGTTTTACAAAGAATTGTTCAAAATAATGTTTTTTTCTGGGTGTTTATTAATGCTCACATGCATTAATCAATTTTATTCTTACCTGCAATAACAAAGAAGAACAGCAAAAAAGCCAATGAGAATGACAACTGTACCTCCCAATATGGCTGTCAGAAATACCGTGTGGTAGGCAGTGATATCCTTGGAGACTTCACTTACAAGTGAACCTAAAATATTCAATATAAATATACTCATGCAAAAATGATTTTAACAATAAAATATTCATTTAGCACCAATTTCTCAACTATACTCTCTCCTCTGACCTTAAACACTTGATATAAAGTTTCTCATCTAACTTTTCTATTTAATCTCTCACTATCTTCATTTCTTCCCTATTGTTTAGAAATAACAAAACGGCACAGTGACATGCCTGTGTCAGTGTAAAAATTGTACTAAGGTAATATTTAATATGCATTCACTTAAGTCAGACCGTAGAAGGAATGTTCTATCCACCCACTGCCCCAATGTGTGCCATCTTCATAGAGGCCCATAAATGACTATCATTCAGAGATCTTATGAAAGGAAACAAAGATGATAAAAATCACTTTGCTTTTCAAGGCAATTGATCAGGTATAGTCTAGTCACTCTAGGTACTCAGATAAGGTTAAGAATGATTACTCTGAGCACATAAATAAACCTCAAGTGCTAACCAAATTTGAGGGGGTTAATACCATCACCTCACCAGTCAGTCAGTCAGTCAGTCAATAAGCATTTATTTATTGAGCACCTACTATTTGCCAGGCAATGTGTTAAGTGCTAGAGAAAGAACATCCCTTAGGAGGCAGATTCTTCATAGAGGAAGGAGGAAAGGAACAAGCATTTATTAAGCACCTACTATTTGTCACGTTCTGTGCTAAGTGCTTTACAAATCTCGTCTCATTTTACCCTTACAGCAGCCCTGGTAGCTAGGTGTTCTTATGATTCCCATTTTACAAATGAAGAAACTGAGGCAGACAGAGTCACACAGGTAGTAAGTGTCTGAGACTGAACTGAAATTCAGGTCATCCTGACTCTAGACCCAGCACTCTATCCATTGTACTGCCTGGCTGTCACCAATATTTATCCAAACCAAGGTAAAGCCACATAAACTCCTCTGTACTGCAAATGCTTATCCAGGTCAAGTGCTACAGAATAGTGGATTTATTAATGATTAAGCAAAATCTAGGGGTGGAAAAAAGAGGGAAATATGACACTTATAAGGAACACATCTCTTGGCCTCTCCTCTGCTATTGTTCTTAATTACAAAATCAAGGTAGCAGCTCAGTTTGTTTCTATAGCATCAAGGCTATTCTGCTTCCACAGGATCCCTAGCCATTTAAGGAAGTGATGCAGAGGTGCTCTAGTCCAAGATCCAGATAGGAAAGCAGTGGTCAGAAACTGCTTGCATAATGAAGAGGAAAGTAGGTAAAAGGTAGGCAATGAACATAGAAAGAAAGGATACAAGCAAGTAAGTAGAAAAATGAAAATGCATTTCATGTTCATACTAGTCAGCTCCAGTTCCCCAGTGAAGAGAAAATTGGTCTTTCTTCATTCAATACTTATTAAATTTACTTACTTATTAAATTACATTTTTCCCTAAGAAAGACCACCTACCCTTGAAACTTATTTTAGCCTAGTTTATTATATTTAACACTTATTTTCAGTTTCAAGAAAATTTCTAATTCTAGTAAAAGACAGAATTTACTGACTTTTAAACTATTAGTGTAAATATAACTAAAGTGATATTGCACACATGAGCACTTATGCTAGTATTGGACTGATTTTCATCAATTCAGTTATTGGTCTGAGTGTTTAAAGTAAATACATCACGACATATGTTCTTAGAACTAAAAGGGACCTTAGATATCATCTAATTATAAAAGCCTTCACTTCACAGAGAAGGAAAAGGCCCTGAAAACACTGGTAAATTTCCCAAGGTTATACACCTGGTTAGTAGCTTAGCCAAGGCCAGAGTCCAGCTTGCCTTACTCCTCCAAGTTCTTTTCACTAGATTATGCTGAATGTAGAAGGAAAGTATAATAAAATAGTGAGGGAAAAGCCCCAATTTGAAAATCAGCATTTACATACAGGCTCTGATGCCTACCAGATATATGATATTGGGCCAGTCAGATCACCCCTCTGGTCCTCTTAGTCCTGGCAAGCATAAAATGAAGCAATTGGATTTACTGATTCCTAAGGTTTCTTGTAAGCCTCAATCCTAGTGGGGTAGGTTGAGTATCCTCTTACTACTAGTGATCTGCACATAGCAGGCATTTGATAAATGTTTATTGAATTGCTGAACAGAAATGACTTTTTAAATGACAAGCAAGTTAACATGAATTAAAAGGAAATCTTTTGCTTCTATTCATACTGCTTAAACTCCCACATCATCCCACAAGGGATAAGCTGATAACTACATTTAAAAAATGAATACTAAAATAGAACATTCACCTACTTCAGAATGATACTATATCTTCTATAATTCATAAATTCATCTTCTTTAAACTGATTATTTTAAATCTGTTTTTAGTTAGTTTCATAGTTGTCTACAAGCCTTGACTATTCCTCATAGTACTTGTATTAAAAATTAAATGTCTTGGACTTGGACCAGTAGTGATATCAAATGAAATATTAATTGTTCTTTTCATCAATATTTCATTACACTGGCTAATTAGGATTTGTGTATGGCCAGACAGCTGGGTTATTTTGCATAAATAAATACCAAAGAGAAATACCTCCCGGGTTTGGATTAAATAGCTCTTTTAAAATGCTGACTTCAAATGATGAAAAGAAAGAATATACCTTTTGATTCCATTAGGTTAATGGACAAATCTCAACAATTGGGCTGATAACTGTTGGCTTCACAAAACAATGTTTTTGATTTTGGTGGGGATTTTCTTTTAGTAGAGATTATGTCTTAGTTGTAATGAGCTGAATCTTTTATCTTAGTGCTCTTCCTTCTCTATGGAAACAATGTCAATATACATTGAGTAAAAATAAAACAGAATTCTTATTTTAAAAAAAAATTATAGAAGATCCAAGGAAAGCCCCCTACATAACAGATTATAAAATAATTATATGGTAGAATGCCTTAGAGATAAACGAAAAATCTTGGGGGTTTTTCTAACTGTAACAATTTTTAAATTTGTTGTACTCCTTTTTGTCACATAAGCAGATCTGAATGTGAGAAGTATTTTTTTTACTTTTAGAATTCATAACTAAGTGAAATCTTCTTAAGACAGATGCCACAAAAGAGTGACCAAAAGTGGAACAGGCAGCCTTAGAAGGAACAAATACCCCATTGCTGGAGTTCTTCAAGCAGAGATTGTATTATTGTTACTGTTTTATAACTATTTCTATTAATAATAATAATTTCTATTAATAATAAACTACTTGACTGAGGTCAGACAGGTAGTTGGTAGTCAACCAAAGGCTAGAACCAGGTCTGCTTCCAATTCCTCTATACCATGATGATTTTTTTAATGTACAAATTACACTGAGTTTACTACATCATATTATGTTCAAACTAAGATATTTGTTTCACCTGGAAACAAACAATCTTTAAAATGTGGCTTATTCATGAAGATTCACTAACAAGGAACAACCAACTTAGACAAGTATAAAAATGTTTTGTTAGCATTGAATTCCTCTTTGCTTTTTTAAGTATTACCTCTGGTTCCAGGAAGTGGTGCTGCAATCCAGTAGCCTAAATGTGGAGCCATATATGTCCATACTAAATGGTCATTAAATTGCTTGACCATTCCCAAGCCACGATTTGCCCAAGCACCTGGAAAAGAAACCAAATAATCCCTAATCAGGCAGAATTCAGTTTCAAAACCTTTTACTTTTAAAGCATCTCTTTCTACATACAATAGTTACACATATTTTAGGGTTAGTAGAATACATTTTCTGATATCTAGGATTAAATACATGTCAATTCAATATATCAAAATATTTTTTCAAAGAATATTCTGAAAAATTAGAACTACACAAAATGAGATTGGGAGCATAGCCCCTAATTTGAAAAATTTACCCTTGGACAGAAGACATAACTAGGCTTTGTGGGAAAGCATTGGGGACTTTTAGCTATGCCCCCCCCAAATCCTAATTTATCACCTAAATATTTAAATTATAGTTATGGAGCTAATATAGTTATAGATCGTAGAAGCCATCAAGTCCAACTCCTTCATTTTGCAGAAAATAAAACTGAGGCATAGAGGGGTTAAGTGACCCTAAGGGTCACAGAACTTGAAAGTATCTGAGACAGAATTTGAACTCAGGTCTTTCTGACTCCAGTTTCCATGCTTTGTACACAAATGCCACTTAACTGCCTATATTTGATCATGGTTAGACCAGCCAATGGATGTTTTTGGAGATTGCAATAAGCTGTACCTTGATGTCTTAAGAGTGGTGATTTGTCCCCTTGGTGCAGAGTATATATCTAAAATACTCTAGATATTTGTCTAAAGATCTTAAATTTACTTTTTGTTTCATTCTGGTAAGTATATAAATTCTTTAAGGAGATATCTTTCTAAGGCCACCTATAGCCAATGATGTTTTGCTATGTTAAAGTGAGAATTATGTGTTTATATATATATATATATATATATATGCATATTTTTTCCTCCATAAAACTAAGTGATAAAGGGAGATGGGAGGCTAGTAATTTTTGAGGGAATAACAGATATGGAAAATAAAATGTTTTTCTTATATATCATGTTATATATTCACAGCATTTAGTAAAAATATATGCTCAATAAATAGCTGTTTTTGTGAAATGAATAGTTTGCCATAATATTCCCTAATCAATTTACAAAACACTATAACAGCCTAAAATTCTTATTATATACTGAAAATATGATAAAATGCATAATATTACTGAAATGTCATGCTCTAACATAATGTGTTTTAAAAGATATTCAATGCTTCATATTTCTCAACCTTTAGAGTCCACATACCAGTTTTCATATCAAATGTCCAAGCAGGTAGAGCATCCCCTGCCTTTGCAGTGTTTGGGTCTACAAGAGGGAGGGTAATTTGAATAGAGCCATCCACATTTAGTTCTTTTCCACCAGAATATATAGCCACACATATTGCAGCAAGAGGAGTCAATTCAATGCTTTTAAAACCTACAACAAAACAAAACAAAAAACTTTTTTTTTTGCTTCAGAGTATCAAACATACAGTCTGTGTTAAGGTGCTGTGGATAAGCAAAGTGAAGAACCAAAACATCAGATCCTTCTAATTTGTAAAAAGCTTTGTTTTTATCCCAAATAAGTACATACAGACCCAACATTTATCCTTTTGTTAGAGGAGCATGTATGCATTTACATTATTACATTGCAATTAAAATGTTAAATTGTGAAATTCAGTAATTTAAAAAAAAATTTTTTAAAAATCTGATAAACCTCTCTCTGACATACTGCATCTTTGACCATTTTACTATCCATAAAATTGATATTAGTATATACAGAGATTTAAAAATCTAAAAAGGAATTAACAAAACATTTGCCAATATAGTAGTGACATTCTACTGTGTCAGCAGTTTTTTGATATTTTATCATAATGATACCTCTTAAAACTTTGGAAGATACATATTAGTTCTATATAGTACGTAGAAAATAAGTTTTCCCTCATTATTCTCCTTTAATCACTCACACTGTCAAGTAGAATAAAACTATGTACTTCAAATACTAAAAATAAATTATGTGATGTGATTCTTGAAAAAGAGAAAATTTTCAAGTACCTGCATAATTAGAGATGTCTATTCAGAGGCACCTTATACAGAAAACTCATTTATCTTAAATAGAAATTAACTTCCATTTTCTCACAGAGCCAGAACTCTCTAAATTTAACTACTTTAGTAAAAATCACAGAAAACATATGTAAAATAGTATTTACAGTTTCCTAATATGAAATAATGCATTTTCTTTTTTTAGCTCAACTCTTGCCTCTTTTATTCAAAAAGAAAGAAATGAAGTTTTGAATGTCCATAACATTGACAATTGTCTATGAGGAAAACTACCAATCACAAGCTAGAAAAAAAAAACAATAATGAAGCAGATTTGATTTTTTTAAAAAGAGAAATGAAAACAAATATAAAATGTGATCTAGCCTACTCGCATTGTCATACATTTTAATATTTGGGAAAGTGAAGTATCTGGATCTAGGAAGTCATCCCTCCTTTTCCATCTTTGTTATATCTAGACAGGGCTTTCATGCTCTCACTTAAGCATAGCCTAGGGAGACTGCCTTACCACAATTCTCAGGCTATAACCAACCAGCTAAAGCGGATGCAAAGAGGAATAGAATAGAGGAAGAAGAAAAGGAAAAGTGACAAGTAGGTACACAAAGAGAAAAGAAGTGAAAGAAAAAAAGGCTACATATACAGCAATATGTCTCCAAAGTGTATAAAAGTAAGCAGATAAGTCAATAGTGATATTCATTCATTTGCCTTTATTCAGTATTAAGTACTGGGACTTTTCCCCCCATGCCTTTGGTAGCTCCACCCCTTTCAGGTACTTTACATGCCAATCTCTAAACTCCCTGAAGGTTATATTACCTCCAAAACTAATTTCCTTATTTCACTAATTCACTTGGTCTGTACATCTGGTTGAACTATCTTTATTTTCTTTAGTGTAACTGTTAGTACCGTATTTGAGCTCAAGCATGGTAGAATATTATCCTTGCTAGTAAAAACAGTTTGTTATAATAACCTTTGCTAAGCTTTTCCATTTTCTTCTGTTTGTTATTCTTTCTCAATATTTTGCTTTAAATGTCTTTGAGATGATTCTGCTCAGTGAGTCTCATGCCAAGCTTGCTTTAAACTACTTTTACTCTCCACTGCTTCTATATGCTTTATGAGATTATACTTCTCATAATTATCCATCATCCTTCTTTATAAGATTTTAAAAACAAGTTTATGTTGTAAACCAGTTTTGTCTTTGGCTGACGTCTCTCTGCATACAAGAGAATCAAGTATTTGATTTTTTTTGAGTAAGTGAAAGTTTTACCATGATTTACTCTAAAATATTACAGTCCATGAATCTCAATTATATATAAACAAAACATTTCACTGTCTTATGAGATTTTACTGTCATTGTAACAACAGCAAAGTTTGAAATTATTTCTATAGATCCATTGTCTCAACAATGCTATTTTCCCCCATCATTGTAGACTGCAAACCGTTTTTGTCTTTTCATCCTATGTGATTCCTGACCATGTATTTCTATAGGAACTTCATCAAGGATTTAACCAAAATGTTGGAGGCCTTCATGAAAGTCTTTTTGAAAGTAATTCATTATTTATTTTTAACCTTCTTTTCTTCATTCACTTTCTTTTTCATGGTGCTCTTTGGGCACAAAAAAGTACACTGGAAGTGAAATTCACATTAATTTCAGATGGAACTATAGTGAGTGCTGTAGGGAGCCAATTACACTTTTAGATAAAAGGAAGGCTGACAAAGACAACTTGATAATAGATAAAGAATTCAAGGTTATATGAATGACTCAACTTCAAATATGTGTCGAAGCACCACATCTCTACATTTACTCAAAAGTGTGACATGCTTATGTCTTTATAATAGATTTAAATCCAATGACAAGACTAAGAATAACACTGAATACCTGATTTATTAAGAAGAATTCCCGTCGTGTAAAGAAAATTGTCTACTTTCAGAAACTGTTGTAGCACTGTAAGATAGCCCGTGACATTACTAATATGATGGCTGCTGGGAAGTTTAATTAAACCCTTTGGAAACTGTACACTTGGTTGAGATTTGGCATCTGGAAAATAAATTTGTTTTATTTAGCAAACAATGAAATTAAGTAAACAAACCATTGGATTGGAAATAAATATAAAATAATGACATGGATTAGTATTTGTACTATAAATCATTCTTCTCTAAAATTTCTTTCCTTTTTGTAGAATTAGGAAAGCAATAACAAGTGCCTTCTGAAAAGCGGTATAGAGAAATAATCTTTCCTAAGTGCTAATTCAATCCAACTGCACATGTCAGTGCTTTCTGGAGTAAATGAAGGTAACTTGCAGTTTGGGAGTAGTTGGGCCAGGAATTGGATTTTCATCAGTGTTGAGAATTCACAGTGTAGGGAAAAAAAACCCTCTTTCCCATGCAGATTGTCGATTTGTCTGTAATTTATAGTGTTGGAGAATTACCTGGGAGTACTTAGAGATAAAGTAGCTTATCCATGGTCCCAGAGCTAGTATATGTTAAGGGTAGTACTTGAATCCAGGTCTTTTGACTCCAACGTTGACCCTTTCTCCACTACCACATATTGCTTCTCTGATTTGTACTTATGACCTATCAATAACTAGTGTTATGTTGGCTTTTGTAGTTATGACTTCCCTGAGACCCAGGTCACTTCATTGTAGAAGGTTTATTCTTCTTTGGAAGCAGTATGGTACAATGAAGAGAGGGTTGGCCTCGGAATTAGAAAGATCTAGTTTCAATTCCTGCCTTTGACACACTAGCTGTATAATCATGGATAACTCACTTACTTTTTCAGGGTCCCAGGCAACTGGCTAAATCTATAAATAATAGAGAAGTCACCCATTTGTATTGGTGAAGGGTGGTCCCCAGATTGTAAGTTATCATGCATTGATAAAAATCATAGGTCCAGACCCAAACAAACCCCTAAACCCATAAAAATATTCCCCATCTGTATATCTGTATGTAGATAGATAGGCAGATAAATAATTCTCTAAGGCTATAAGCTACATATAAGTTCACAATCTGCTTGGTAGGAGTTTGTTTCTGCACTATGAATTCTCAGCACTGATGAAATTCTAATTCCTGGCCCAACAATGCCCAAACTGCAAGTTACCTTCAATTACTCTAGAAAGCACTAATATGTGCAGTTGGATTGAAGAGTGTTGAAAAAAAAATGGAAGAGACCCTAAAGGCTTTGAGTCTACCCAATTTTGCTAATCTAACTAGATAAATGTGTATTTGCATTGAAGAGCTTTATGTTTATCATAAGTCTATTTCTCACCTCTTATAAAAACAATAATAATTTTCATACTCAAATAATGACTAAGAAAGCAATAGGTATGCAGTTTCTTGGCTCACCTCACAAAGCAAAACCACAGACCTTTAAGAATACTGGACAGAAAGCTAAATAATCAGCATTGCTCTATTTCAATTTTTAAAAAGAAGATACTCATGCATTTCTTAATAATACCTGGCCTATATAACTTAGAACAATTTCAAAATTCAATTTAGAAATGGTTAGTTGTTTGGAACCCTGAACAAAGTTTACCTTGGAAATAGTGTTATACATAGGGTTTAGGTTTTTAAGAAAGTTCACAAAAGCCTATTTAACTCACAGATAGATGACCAATACTTAACATTACTGTAGGACATAAGTACCATTTTCCATATTATTTCTACATGCAAACTCATTCAGATATATAGTGTTGGACCCTAGGAACAGATCTCCTGCCAATGAAGCCCCATCTCTTTCCAACTAAGCTTAGTAGTGGAAGAAGAGAAGTCTTTTGCATAAGCTATAATATGGGCATGGGGGTCCTGATGACCTGTAGTCAGGAGAGAATGAAGGAGGGAAGACAAAAAAGTTGTAGACATCACTAGCATCAGCAATGAAGGTCTCCTATGCCTGTAGAAATTGTGGAGAAGGGACTTCCAGCTCAAGAGAATCACTTAAAGGTATATGGCATTTCTTAGTGAAGTGATTAAAAGTTAGGATCTGCCTCTATTCAGAGGTAGTGGGAGACAATATACTTGGGGAAAAATAGCCAGTTTGCTATTTGGCATACAAAAAAAGTTATGAAAACAATTTTTAAAAGCTTCTAACTTTTCCGTTGAACTCTACTGCGTGGTTATCTAACACACCCAAGGCATTTCTCTTGATCCCTTGGTCCTGAACATTTGCTACTTTAGGAATGGAGCCAATTTCAACTGATCACTTAGTATTTATTCTACATAATAAAATGCACACTATCATCAGAATAGAGATTTTTAAAATAAGTAAATGTCAGTAAATATGTCTAGTACTAGCTCTATCTGTTCTGTTAGAGGATTTCCTAGATCTAATTAACCTAGTTTATTAAAGAATTTTAATTACATAATAATAATTACTTTACATAATAGATGGAGGAGTGTTGTACTTACCAGATGATTTTCCAGTAACTAAAACAGTATCTTCAAATAGCCATATGTTAGCTTGACTTTGAGGGAACAGTGAAAGTGTCACTGATGAATATACTGTGAAATATAACACATTTAGAATATTTTATTAAGTGCGAGAAAGCTGCATCAAATTTAGTTCTGTTCCAACGGTTCTGAAAAGTGTTGAACAGCCCAACTGTATGATAAGAAAGGCAACTGTAAAGCCAGGAAAAACAAGAATGCAAAATATGATGGATGAAGGAAAAAAGGAAGATGAAGAGAGAATAAAGAAAAAAATCAGAGTAGATTATTATGATGATATCTACTGGTCTAGTAGTTTATTTGCTGTGATATATAAACTTATTCCAAAGTACTGAAGGCATGTTATTTTACATAAGACTTCCTTGTGTGGAGTAGATAAAGTACTGGACTTGGAACATGAAGTTTGGTTTCAAACCATACACCTCAGACACTAATTAACTATGTGACCCTGGGCACTTCACTTAACCTCTCTGTATCTCAGAATCTTTAACTGTAAAATGATAGAGTTGGACTGGAGGTCTTCTAGGGTCCAGGCAGAAGAAAGCCTAATCAATTTTGCACATAATATCCTTTCAAATACTTGAGGAAGGTTGTTATGCCCCACCTAATTCTTTCTACTGGGTCTTTCAATCAATTTTTCCATGATATTTATCATTCTGAATGCCCTCCTTTAGATAACATCCAGATTCTCAATAGTCCTCCTAAAATATGGTACCCAGAAGAGAACATAATACTCTATTTTTCCTAATCCACAAACCATATACCAGCACTGTCACAGCCCTCTGGATTCCATTGATAGGTAGGTGTTATTATGATGTCCATTTTACAGCTGAGGAAACTGAGACAGAGCTTAAGTGATTTGCCCTAAGTATTTAAGGCTGAATTTTAACTCAGGTCTTCCTGACTTCAAGCCAGCATTCTATTCACTCTACCATCTAGCTGCCCAAATCATCTAAGTCATAGATATGTTAAAACAAACAATATTCCTACAGTCCCTCCTCCAAGTTGACTTCAACTCTTTCTTGGGGTTCAGTCACTCAACCAGTTCTGATATAATTTAGCCCACATATTTAGTTTGCTCACAAGAATAGCTCAGAAAATTTTATGTAGCATTCTTCTGAAATCCAGATATACTTATGTCTCTGGCATTCCACTGACAAGTCTAGTATTCTTGTCAAAAGTGGAGATGACATTAGTCACGACTGAACTAACCTTGATCCTAGATTTAGAGCATAGATTAGGAACTAGGAGTGAATTTAGAGGTCATCTAGTCTAATCTCATTACTTCACAGGTGAGGAAACAGAGTCCCAGAGAGCTTATGTGACTTGTCCAGGGTCACACAGTGAGAAAGTGTCTGAAGTGGGATTATAGGAACTCTCCCTAATTCTAAATTCAGCACTCTGTCTACTACCCTAAGATGTTGACTCTTCAGAGATCACATAAATGATTTTTAGTCTGTAATATGCAAGTTTATCATTTAATTACATACTGCTATTTTCTAATTATTTGAATTTTATTAGTCAGATCTCAACAAAATTCTATGATGTTTATGGTCAATAATGAGTACTACACAGCTTTTTTTTTTTTGAAAGGCAATCGGAGTTAAGTGACTTGCCCAGAGTCCCACAGGTAGTAAGCGTCAAGTGTCTGAGGCCAGAGTTGAACTCAGGGGGCAGGTAGGTGGCGTAGTGGATATAGCACCAGCCCTGAAGTCAGAAGGAACTGAGTTCAAATCCAACCTCAGACCAAACACTTGACACTCACTAGCTGTGTGACCTTGGGCAGGTCACCTAACCCCAGTTGCCTAAAAAAGAAGGCAAAAAAAAGCTTTAAGAGGCAGCTAGGTGGTGCAGTGATTGGAGTTCTGGCCTTGAAGTCAGGAGGACATGAGTTCAAATCCAGTCTCAGACATATGACACTTAACTCTCTGTATGACCCTGGGTAAGTCACTTAACCCTGATTGCTTCACCAAAAAAAGCAAAAAAAAAAAAAGAACTCAGGTCCTCCTGACTGTGGGGCTGGTGTTCTATCCACTGCACCATCTAGCTGCCACACAGCTTTTGAGGCTTGAACTGTATCTGGTATGGTGTCTGGCAAATGGCAGATTCTCAATACAACTTGGTTTATCTCCCCAGTCCTATCCTATTCCTTGTTTTGATTGTTGCAGAGACAAAAATAACACCCTCTTTAAGTTCAGCAATTTGGCTTTTGTTTCAAAATCTTCTGAGATGAAAATGTAGTTAAAATTCAAGTTAGGTGGTATGGTTTTTGTTTCAAAAGTATTCATCAACAGCAATATTTCTGGCCCCATCCACTCAGAATGCAGCCATAAGAAAGAAAAGAAGCTTTACCTAAGTGGCCAGAACTATATCAAGTAAATAAATAAAGTTATTTCACTATTTTTATTTTATTTATTTACTATATGACTACTATGTGCCTAGTACTATAAAGTATGAAAAATGATTAAAGGATGTTTCTTGTGTTCTTGTACGTATACATACAATTGTTTCCCTGTTGTCTCTCCCATTAGAATGTAACCTCCTTGAAAACCAGGACTGTTTTTTTCCTTTCTTTATATATTCAGTGCTTAGTAGAATATCTTGCATATGGTAAACACTTAATAAATACTTGTTGACTTGGCTTGACTTTAAGGATTTTATAATCTTGTTGGAGAAAGAAAACAAATTCTTGTGAAACAATCATTAGAAATTCAAGAATAAGCATATGGATTTTACTTGTGATTTCACAGGTATAGATCTCTCTGGTGAAGAAAATCAACCAACACAAGTTATCACCTTCTCTGTAACTTGGAGTCATAGAGAGTTACCTAGAACATTAAAAAGGTAAGTAACTAGTATCCAAGATCACACAGCTGATATGCATCAGAGAGAACATGGCTTTTTGGCTCTGAGGTTGGTTCTCTGTTATATCACAATTATGCACAAGCAATCAAAAACAATATATAATTACACCCTATGTTGTGTGGCATAGAATATAAATACTGAAGGAGTTTAGAGCAGATAGAAATAGATCAATACAGGTTAGAGCACTTAGAGAAAACTTGATGGAAAAGGTACATGAACAAGGCCTTGAAGAATGAGGACAAATATTTATACAGGTTGAGGAGAACTGGAGGGCATTTATACATTGTTTTAAACAATTTTACCAATAACTTGCACTATGCATGCCAATAAAATAGAAATTGCCCCTTATTTCCCCCAAATGGACAATTTACTTAAATACAGACTTTCTTGTAATTAGGATCTACAGCTATAAGCTTTTTTACATGAATTTTGTTGAAAGTTTTTTAAAAGTCTTTCGAAATAGCATTTAAATAAAACCATAACAGAGGGTAAAAATCCCTTTTGTTTTGCTTTAGACTGTCATTCAGTCCTGACTTATTTAGGTTAGCTTCATGGAGCTATATTCAGGTGGCAAGAATAACATGGATTTTTTCAAAGAAGAGGAAAAAGTTAATCAGTAATATTCTTAAAGAGCTTACTTGGCATTCTTCTGGTCTTCCAAGGTAATGGTGTTAGCAGGTAGCCATCTTTGTAAGCTGTGATAGTCAAGCTGACACCTAATTTATAGGGAACTTTTATTAATACTGCTCCATTATTTCCAGTTACAGTAGAATTTGTCTTTGTGTAATTCACATAGACTTCTACAACTGCTTGGCGTAGGTACTGACGACTGATGATATCATTCACATGGACTTTCAATAAAAACAGAGATACTAAAAGGGAAAAAAGAATCCCAATATTAGTATGTAAGTATGTTCTATACTGGAAGATATGTGTTGTAAAATACTATCCAAAATCATTTCTTGCACATTGACCCAGAAAATTAATTTGTGGAATTCAAAATATTTGCTCCTATGTCTATCCATAATATATATTTCTTCTTACCTAACAAAAAATATTTGCCTAAACTGGAATCTATTTTCAAAAAGAAAGAAAAAGAAATATGGAAAGAATGATATTTTGTCTCCAAAAAACATGCAATTTTAAAGCATTTCAATGAGCTTCATAAAGCTGAGCCAAGTTATTTCCACTTCTTGCCAGCAAGGAACAGGGCATACCTCCATAGAAACTTATTCATTTATGTTTGTGGCCTTTAAAGTACTCATTTGGTAATATTCTTCATAAGACCAAAAGGAATTTTCTGGTACTGAATGTGAGAAATGTAAGGCTGTGTTTGCCTATGATACAAAAGTACATAAAAGTAAGCACCGAGTAATGGCAACAAATTCATTTCACATCATACTTTTCAACATGCATCTTAGCACCATGGCTAACGAAGCTTTCTTTTCAATTAGGGGGGGAAAGAGTTTTATAATATTTTTTTAAAAACTACTTCGTAAGCCATAGTTAGATGAAAGTAGGATTCAGGGGAATTTGATATCTTTAAGTATTTGAAAAGCTGTCATGTAGAAGAAGGCTAGACTTATTCTGTTTGGCCCCAGTGGTTTAGAACCAGATGAAAGTTGTAAAAAGGCAAATTTAGACTCAGTCAGAAAAAACTTCCTTAAAAATAGACTTGTCCAAAAATGGAATGCAGTACTTGGAGAAGTAGGGGGTTTCCCTTTCACTGGAAGTCCTCAAGCAAAACCTGGATGATCACTTACAGAGTATGCTATAGTGAGAGTTCCTATCTTACACGGATTAGCTAGCTGTTGAGATCCTTTCCAACTCTCAAATTCTCTGATTCTGTAAACAGAAGAGTTGATTTAATCCTGACTACTTATATTACAGGAGCTCACATTCGTCTGTCACCTTACAAAGTATTTTCAACACAAAAACTCTTTGAGGTAGGTGATATAAGCACCATCATTCCCATTTATGGAGATCAGGAAGCTGAGTCTCGGCAGTCACATGACTTATTCTTGGTAATTGTTATCTGCCCTATTAAAATGTAAAGTCCTTGTGAGTAGATATTGTTTCATTCATTATACTTGAATTCTAAGACCAGCACAGTAGCTGATACCTAGTGGGTGCTCAATAAATACTTGTTGATTGATTATATACACCTCATAAATGGCAAGACCAGGACTTGAGCTCAATTTCCAATAAAATTTACTGTTCTTTCCCTTACTATGCTATCTCCCCCATGGTGACAGTGTAAGAGTGAATTGACCTTTGAGTTTTCTTTAAAACCATAAGACAAACAAATTATTGACAATCTTGACCAAGAAAAACCTTGCTGGCAAATTTTTAGTCAACCTTACTTATTCTAAATATTTTATTGGCATAAGGTAGATTTTGTTTATCACATAAGAATTGCCATCATTTTTAATGCAAAAACAAAAAAAAATTATCTTCCTATCCTAAGGAAGATATAAGCCAGCAAGTTGGAAAGAAGAGCTCAGTTTTCATTCTTTTCATAGAGAAAAGAAAATGTTATGCAAAACAATGTTCTCTATATGCACATAGGAAAAAAAATTGTAGTTACAGGATGCTTAACCTTATGTATAAAAGTTGTGGGGCAGCTAGGTGGCTCAGTGGATAGAGTACCAGGCCTGGAGTTAGGAAGACTCATCTTCCTGAGTTCAAATCTGACCTCAGGCACTTATTAGCTGTTTGTGACCCTGGGCAAATCATTTAACCCTCTTTGTCTCAGTTTCTTCATCTATAAAATGAGTTGAGAAGGAAAGGGCAAACCACTCCAGTATCATTGCCAAGAAAACCCCAAAGAGGGTCATGAAGAGTCAGAAACAATTGAAATAACCGAACAACAACAACAATAAAAGCCCATGCCTACATTTTCTAATCTAACAAAAAGTGAATCTTAATTTGGAAGTAAATTGCAGAAAATTATTAAAGAAAGAGGACTCATAACCTGTATGGTTAGGCCTTTACTGTGGGGTTTCATCATTCTGCTGGAAGCTGTACAGATATTCTGAACACATCAAACACATACACTCCAAAAGAAATATAAAAATTGCCTTGTAGAGCCAAATAAAAGTGATCCTTGTGCTCCATTCCATTATCATAAATAATCAAGATAGGATTATAATTGGTTAATCTTAATACCTCTTATATATGAAATGTCATTGCTGTTTTACCATTTTGTGATGAGAAAAGGTGTCTATGAAAGAATTTGGAAATGGGTATCCACAAGCTCTCAATTCTATCTGTTCCTCAAACAATTTGATCTTACTTTTTTAGACATTTATCATTAACCTGACATAATATAGTTGGTTCATGCTAAAATAAGTGACATCAAATTTGTAACAGTTTTAAAATCCAAACAGTATTCTTTAAATCACTATTTTAATATTAAACAAATTAATTTTATAAATGAAGACAACATTAAGGCCTTATTCAAAACTAAACTTTTAAATAGCAACTATTTGTCCAATTTAAAAGAATCCTCATAAGGGATTTTTAAATTTAAATTTTAAATCACCAAGGGGGAAACAAAGGATATGACCTGATTGGTCTATAAACCAAATGTATTCAAACAAGCCCATTCATTAGAAGTAACATACAGCCTATATGTTTACTGTAGTTTTCCCCTTCATTTTTAGACTTAAAAATTATTTTTCAGGAGATATTTTTAAAATAAAGAAATAGATCTGATTAAAAGAGATAAAAAAGGGAAATGCATTTTATTGAAAGATATTATACACAAGGAATCAATTTCAATATGTAATATACATGAACCAAATGGCAAAACATCTAAAGACTTAAAGGAAAAGATAAAGAAGGAAAAGGGAGAAATAGACAATAAAATTATAATAGTGGAAGACCTCAATGTATTGCTATCAGCTTCAGTTTATTTAATAAAAAAAATTTAAGGTAAGGATATGAATACAATTTTAGAAAAATTAGATATGATAGATTTCTAGAGATGGAATTATATTAAATGGTAACAGAAAAGAGTATATATACATATGCCTGAGATGTGCTTGGCCCATTTACAAAAACTTACTATGTAGTAGAATATAAAGACATCAAAAAGTAATGCAAAAAAACCAGAAATATGAAATATATCACTTGTTGGCCACAATGAAGGAAAATTATATTCAATAAAGGGCTCTTGAAACAAGTATTCAAAGTTAACTGGAGATTAAACATTTACACCTAAAGAGTCAAAGAATAAGACATAGGAAGAGTAGATAACTTCATTAATTATAATGACATCAATGAGAAAACATATCAAACTCTGGACATGTAGCCAAACCACTCTTTAGGAAGAAATTTATATCTCTAATTTTTTTCATCTAAGAGAGAGAGAGAGAGAGAGAGAGAGAGAGAGAGAGAGAGAGAGAGAGAGGAGAGAGAGAGAGAGAGAGAAGAGAACGAATCAGTCAATTGGGGATGCAATTTTTTAAAAGGCTAAAAAAATTTTAAACTCAATTAAACATTAAAATAGAAATCTTGACAATCAAAGAAAAGATTAATAATACTGAATTTTAAAAATTGAACTAATAAGTCTAGGAGTGATAGATAAGCCATTAGATAATTTGATTTAAAAAGAAATAAGATCAAGATTACATTGCCAATATCACAAATGGAAGAGGAAATTTCACAAAAAATGAAGAAATAAATGATACTATTAGAAATTATTTTGCCCAACTGTATGTAAATAAAACCAACAAATTAGATGAATGAATATTTACAAAAAAATAAAATACTGAAATGAACAGAACAAAATATAAAGAATTTAAGCAACATAATCTCAGGAACAATCCATGAATGAACTCCCAAAGTAAAGCCCAAGATCAGATGGCCTTAAAAGTAAAGTCTAGCAAACAAAGAAAAATTCATTTCAATATTGCACAAAGTGTTCACAAAAAAAGAGGAAAAGGGTTCCTACCAAATTCCTTCTATGACATAAATATAATCTTGATACATAAACCAGAGTTGAAAAAAAAACTATAGACCAATATCCCTAATGAAAAAAATGCAAAAAGTGTAAATAAAATTAGCTGACAGGCTATAACCTCACAAGATTATCATAAAGACTATACACTATTACCAGGCTAATCTGACATCAGTAATGAAGAGCTGGCTCAATATTAGGAAAATTATCTACACAAATGACAATATTAATAATAACAATCAAAGTCATGATTTATCAACAAATGTAGAAGAAAAACTTTGAACAAAATAAATCACATTTCTTTTTTAAAAACTCTAGAAATATAGCATGAATGGATTTTTTTCTTTACATGATAAGTAGTGTTCATTAAAATATGACAGGAGCAAAACAAGGAAATATTCTCTTACCACTGTTTGGTACAGTACTAGAAAGGTTAACTATCGTAGTAAGATAAGAAAAAGAAGTAATATATAAGCACAAAGAAGAAACAAAATTTTCCTTTTGTACAAGATATGATAGTTTACTTAGAGAACTCTTAGAAGGCCAACTAAAATTTAAACAATAATTTTAGCAAAGTCATAAGGATGTAAAATAAATCCATATAAATCATCATTTCCACATAACAACAAAACCCAGCAGGGAGAGAAAAAAAAAGAGAAATTCATTTTAAAAATAACTATAGAATATATACAATTCTTGAAGACTTTCTTGGGAAATCAAAATAATGTGGGAACTACATGAATTTGATAACTACAAAACAAGATTTATTATAATAAAGATAGACCTAAGTAATCAGAGAAATATCATTTGTAGGCAGGTCAAATCAATAAAATAGAAGTCATAATGCTACTCTAATTTATTTTTTATTCAGTGCAATACCTAAGTACCAAAAAATTACTCTGTAGAACTAGAAAAAAAAATAACAAAATTCATCTGAAGGAGTAAAATATCAAGAATCTTGAGGAAAACAATTGGGAAAAGTTGGAAAGTATTCGGGCTAGAAGTTCCAGATCATAACCATATTACAAAGCAATAAGTATCAGAATGATTTGATACTGATTAAAAAATAAGGAGGCTAGTCAGTGGAAGAAAGTAGGTGTCCAACATATAGATACAATCCAATCTACTAAATTAGTGTCCAACATATAGATACAATCCAATCTACTAAATTAGTGATTGATAACCTAAAGATCACAGCTACTGGGGTCACTATTAGGCAAAAACTGCCAGATAGCAATCTGGCAGAAAATAGGTTTAGAGAAATACCTCACAATCTGGCAGAAAATAGGTTTAGAGAAATACCTCACACCATATGCCACAGTAATCTCCAAATGGATACATGACCTACATATAAAAAGTCAATTCGTATAAACAAATTATAAGAGCAAGGCATAAATTGTTACACAGTTATGAATAGAGGAAGAGTTCATGTCTAGTAAATGATAGAAAGGATCAAAGAAAATAAAATAGACAATTTTGATTACATAAAATTAAGTTTTTTGATAAATCCAATGGAGGTAAGAGTAGAAGAGAAACAGTTAACGGGGGGAAAAACATTTTTACAACAATTTCCTCTGATACAGTACTCTCTTTTCCAAGACATATAAAAAACAGATTCAAATTTATTAGCCACTCTCCAAATGATAAATGGTCAAAGAACATAGAATATGAACTTCTCAAACAAAGAAATCCAAGCTGCCTATAGTAATGTCAAAAAAGCTCCAAACCACTAATAACTAGAGAAATACAAATTAAAGCAACTCTTTGTTTCTACTTCATAACTATCAGATGAGCAAACCTCACAAAAAAAGAAAAAATGTTGGAGAGGCCATGGGAAAACCTGATTTTCATCACTGGAGTACATGTACTCAAAATTCTTTGTAATTGTCAATAATCAGGTCCAAAAAAAGATGAAATTTGAGCTATTTAAAAAAACAAAAAAAAGTAAAACAACTTCAACAATCTACTTAGATTCTAAGTTGTATGATTATGCCAAAGCTAAGCAAAAATTCAAGAGGTAGAATCAGGACACAAATTGCAAATATGGAAAAGCTGTTTCCTTGCCACAAAAATGGAAAATTTCATGGGAAAGAAACACTTGTTTTGCTCCACTGAAACCTGTTGTTTAAAAAAGTGATTTACCAAAATAAAGAAATGGATAACATAAAGAGAGCCTTTATGGCCTGAGGATATCCACATAGATATTTTTAAAAGGATCTGGATCATTAAACTATTCCTGTCAGTTTCTTCTTGCCATCCAAGAAACCTAGTTGCTCAATATGATCCTCTGACATGAAATAACCCTCCTTCAAGATCTCAGAAATCTCTTCATGCTCATGATCATTTATGCTCACTTCACAAGCTCCCTTCTGGCTTTACCTCTCTGATCCCTTATCTTCTCCCAGTACCTATCTGTCCTCAGCTATGTGGCCAGTGGATAAAGCACTGAGCCTAGAGTCAGGATAGATCTGAATTCAATTCTGCCTTCAGACACTTACTAGCTGTGTAAGTCATTTAACCTCTGTCTGCCTCAGTCTCCTCAAATGTAAACTTCTCTAGATTGTTATGAGGATTAAATGAAATGAAATAATAATTGTAAAGCACTTAGTGCAATGACTGACACCTAGGTACTTAACAAATGTGTGTACCCTTCTCCCTTCTCCTAGTGTTTTTCATAAGTATCAACCATATTCTCTGTACATTAGATTTAACCTTCCAACTTTAGGAAGTGCATATCTTAGAGTTTTCAGCTCTTGGTTGAAACATCATTCCTATATAAGAGTGAAATTAGAACTATAATGATAAAAAGCTGCATACAAAGACAAGCATAATATATTTAGCTTTGGAAGGGACTTGAAAGATCATCTAATTTAACCTCCTCATTTTGCAGAGAAGAAAACTGAATCTCAGTGGGGTTAAAGGCTTTTCCAAGGCAGTCAATGGAAGAGCCAGGATTCAAACCCAGTAATCTGATTGAGCCTAAAGTCTTTGTTCTTTCTACTATACAGTAATGTCCCATCCCCCTTTATTAATCACCATACTGAACTGATCACCCTACTACTCTCAGGGGGCTGTCATGAGGCTGAACAAGAGAAAATTTTTATAAAATTGATGTGAAATCTTTAAGTCAAAAACAAGGGGGAAAATAACATTATAATGCTGCATAAACTTTAGATAAGTGATTATGTAAAACATGTATATATGTACTATTAAACATTTAAAAAATCATATCAGAGACCATATTTGGAGAAACAATTTGTATCACTAATTTTCTCTATAAATAATTATAATTGAAGTAATATTCATAGATTTAAAGATATAATATTTATAATTTTGTATTAACTAATAATATTTCCATGCCTATTTATAGCCTTTATATTACACGCACAAGGCACCTAGGTGACACAGTGACATAGTACCTTGCCTGGAGTCAGGAACTTATTTTTGTGAGTTTAAATCTGGCCTCAGACACTTAGTAACTGTGTGACCCTGGGCAAGTCACTGAACCCTGTTTGCCTCAGTTCCTCTCTGTAAAATGAGCTGGAGAAGGAAATGTTAAATCACTCTGCCAAGAAAACTCCAAATGGCATCACGAAGAGTGGGACATGACTAAACAACAACAAAAATTATATGGACATAACAAATTATGTACTTGAAAGTGAATTCTATTGATTGTAGAGCAACAAAAAAAGTTATACATGAATGTAGAAACAGGGTCAGAGACTGTACTATGACTTTATTGGCATAGAGAGTTCCTAGGTAAAGAAATACTCCACCAAAGTAGGTCAGTATCTTATTTTATATCTTATAGTATCTTAGAGTCTATAGTTCACTGACTAGTAAACTAAGAAATTCAATGACTAGTTCACAATCACACAGCCAGTATCTATCAGAGGTATAACATGAACAAGCCCTCCTGGCTTCACGTCTTACTCTCAATCCATTATGTTTGATTTCTATAATGAAATGTAATTGTGTCATTTTTTTAAAAAATTAAATATTACTAACTCAGAGAATCTTGAAGAGACTTTATGAACTGAATAGAAAGCAGAAACAAAAAAAAAGTTTACACAATAACTGTAAAAATTTAAGGGAAAATGCCACTGAAAAACATCAGTTCAGTGACTATTTTTACTTCAGAAGATGAGTAGTAAAATATGCCTCTCCCCTCACAGCTCAGGTGGTAGACTAAGTGGAGAAAGAGGATATATTTTTAGATGTGGCAAATATTTTGGTTCTACTTTTCTATTCTTTATTATAAAGACAAGTCCTGGGGATTAGGATTCATTAGGAAATGAAAGTATTATTTTTTAAAAAAACAATAATTATTTTGTGAGTATAGGGAAAAATCAAATAGCCAATTTTAATCCAAAGAAGTGATATGAGAATAACCCCTCCCCAACTTCTCTGCAGGGATGAGGTTTTAAGGATATGGAATTTTATATATAATGTTTATCTTAGTTAATGTTTTGTTTAGTTTTGCTTAAATTTTTTCCCTTTTCTCCAAAAATAGGATAGGAGAAAGATATATTAGATAATGAAGGCAATGTAAAAATAGAAGATGAAGGCAGTGTTTTTTAATTAAATTTTATTTTATTTTCAGTTTCAGATTCTATCCTTCTCTCCAAGTTCCTCCTCCATCCATTGGGAAAGCAAGAAATTCCATAATCATTACACATATGAAGTCATGCAAAACATATTTCTGCATCAGCTATGGTTCCCCCCCCCAAAAAAAAAGGAAAAGAAAAAAGAAAGTAAAGCAAAAAAATAAGCTTCAATCTGTTTGTGTTTTTGTTTTGTTTTGGTTTGGTTTGGTTTTGGATTTGGGGTTTTTTTCTGTCAATCATTCTATGTGTAGGTAGATAGCTTTCTTCATAATGAGTCCTCTATAATTGTGGTGGATCATTGTATTGCTCAGAGTCATGAAGTTTTTCACAGTTGATTGTCATTACAATATTGCTGTTGCTATATAGATTGTTCTGGTTCTGCTCACTTCACTTTGCATCATTTCATACGTCTTCCCAGATTTTTCTGAAAATACCCCTACATCATTTCTTACAACGCAATAGTATTTCATCACCTTAATATACCAGCCATTCCCCAAATAATGGACTTCTCCTAAGTTTTCAATCCTTTGCCATCACCAAAAGAGCTGCTGTACATACTTTTGTACATATAAGTCCTTTTTCTTTGATCTCTTTGGAGTAGTGGAATTTCTGAATCAAAAAGTACAAATGGTTTTATAGCTTTTGGTGTATATTTCCAAGCTGCTCTCCAGAATGGTTGGACTAGTTTAAGTGCATCACTGTAACTATTTTGCCACATCCCCTCTAGTACTTGTCATTTTTCTTTTCTGTCATCTTAGCCAATTTGATGAATGTGAGGTGTACCTCAGAGTTGTTTAATTTGCAGTTCTCTAATCCACAGTGATTTAGAGCATTTTTCATATGGTTTGTTATAGCTTTGATTTCTTCCTCTGAAAACAGGCTATTCATATCCTTTAACCACTTATCAATTCGGAAATGTCTCTTATTCTTTTTTTTTTAATTTTTGGTGAGGCATTGGGGTTATGTGACTTGCCCAGGGTCACACAGCTAGTAAGTATCTGAGACCAGATTTGAACTCAGGTTCTCCTGACTCCAAGGTCCGAGCTCTATCCACTATACCACCTAGCTGCCCCTATTCTTATACATTAGGCTAAATTCCCTATAATTTGAGAAATGGGACCTTTATCCAAGAAATTTGTTGCAAAGATTTTTTCTAACTTTCCTATTTTTCTTCTAATTTTGACTGCATTGATTTTGTTTATGTTTATACATTTATTTTATGTAATAAAAATTATCCAACATTCCATAAGCCTATCTCTTGTTTGGTCATGAACTCTTCCTTTACCCGATCTGACAGGTAATTTCTTTCTTTTCTTTTTAATTTTTAATTATTTTATTAATTTATTTTGATTTATCAACAATCACTTCCATATGCTTTTGAGTTGAAAATTTTTCTCCCCCTTACTCCCTCCCCCACCCTCCCCAAGATGGCGCACAATCTGATATAGGCTTTACGTTTACATACCCATTAAACATATTTTCACATTAGTGAAGTTGTAAGTAAAAATTAAAACGAATACGAGGAACCATCAGAAAGAGGAAACAAAACTCAACAGAAGGTAAAAACAAGTGATAGTGATTCAGCTTCCATAGTTCTTTCTTTGGATGTGGATAGCATTTTCCATCCCAAGGCCTCTGGAGATGTCTTAGATCCTTATAATGCTGAGAAGGGTTCAGTTTAACAATATTAGTCATCACATAATGTGGCTGTTATTGTGTACAAAGTCCTCTTGGTTCTGCTCACTTCACTCAGCATCAGACCATATAAGTCTTTCCAGGTTTTTCTGAAGTCAGCCTCTTCATCATTTCTTACAGCACAATAGTATTCCATTATATTCATATACCACAACTTGCTCAGCCATTCCCCAATTGATGGGCATCCTCTCAATTTCCAATTCTTTGCCACCACAAAAAGAGCTGCTATGAATATTTGTGTACATGTGGGTCTTTTTCCCATTTGTTTGATCTCTTTGGGATATAGCCCTAGAAGTGCTATTGCTGGATGAAAGGGTATGCACATTTTTGTAGCCCTTTGGGCACAGTTCCAAATTGTTCTCCAAAATGGTTAGATTATTTCACAACTCTACCAACAATGTATTACTGTTCCAATTTTCCCACATCTTCTCCAACATTTATCATTTTCCTGTTTTCTGACAGGTAATTTCTTCCATGCTTATAATATCATCCTTTATGTTTAAATCTTGTACCCATTTGAACATATCTAGGTATAGAGTGTGAGATGTTGGTCTATGCCTAGTTTCTGCCAGACTATTTTCAAGTTTTCCTAGCAGATTTTTTCAAATAGTGAGTTTTTGCCCCTGTAACTGGGACCTTTAGGCTAGGTTGCTATGCTCATTTGCCTCTGTATATTGTGTGCCTAATCTGATCCATTAATCAACTATTATATTCCTTAGTACTAAATTGTTTTGATGATTACATCTATGTAGTATAACATGAGTTCTGGTACTGCCAGCCCCATTACTTAGCATTTCTTTGACTGATTCCCTTGATATTCTTGACCTTTTGTTTTTTCAGATAAATTTGATTATTGTATTTTTCTAGTGGCATTAAGTAATTCTTTTTGTAGACTGATTGGTATGGCATTGAATAAGTAAATTAACTTAAGTAACATTGTCATTTTTATTATGATGAATTGCCATATCCATTAATAATTAATATTTCTCCAGTTATTTAGATATTTTCATTTATGTGAAAAGTGTTTTGTAACTATGTTCATATAATTCCTCTGTGTGGGTGTCTTGGCAGGTAGATGCCTAAGTATTTTATACAGTCTGCACTTATTTTAAATGGAATTTCTCTGTTTCTTCTTGCAAGCTTTTGTTGGCAATATATAGAAATGTTGATGCTTTGTAAGGGTTTATTTTATATTTTGCAATTGTGCTTAAGTTATTAATTGTTTTAACTATTTTAATGGACTCTAGGGTTCTCTAAGTAAACCATCATTATCACATATAGAAAGTATAATTTTTGTTTCCTCATAGCTTATGATTATTACTTATTTTTCTTATGACTAGCTTTCCTAATACAATGCTGAATAATAATAGAGATAATGGACCTGATTACTTTACCCCTGATCTTATCAGGATGGTTTCTAGGTTATCCCTATAACAGATAATACTTGCTCTTAGTTTTAGATAGATACTAATCATTTTAAGAAAAGCTCCATTTATTCCTATGTTTCCTAATTTTCCTAATAGTGGGTATTGTATTTTGTCAAAAGCTTTTCATGCGTCCATAGAGGTAAATTCATGATTTTTGTTTTTGTTGTTGTCAATCTTGCTTATAATTTTCCTAATATGGAATAGTTTTTCATTCCTAGTATAAATCCAGCCTGGATCTTTGGAATGTTGTTGGAATCTCTTTGATCGTATTTCATTTAAAATGTTTGCATCAATATTCATTGGGAAATTGTTTTTTAGTTTTCTTTATTTTGTTCTCCTTAGTTTAAGTATCAAAACCAAATTTTTGCCATAGGAAAACAAAAATGGTAAGAGTCCTTCTTTTCCTAATTTTTTCAAACAGTTTGTATAGTATTGGAATTCAACATTCTTTAAATGTTTGGTAGAATTCATTTGTAAATCTATCTGGTCCTGGTATTTTTTTCTTAGAGAGTTCATTTATGGCTTGTTTGATTTATTTTTCTAAGATAGGATTATTTGAGTATGATATTTCCTATTCTGTTAATCTGGGTAATTTATGTTTTTGTAAATATTCTACTATCTCATTAAGAATGTCAGTTTTATTGGCATATAGTGGGGGAAAATAGCTCCCAATAACTGATTTTATTTCATCTTTATTGGTTGTGCGTTCACATTTTTTCATTTTTGAAACTGGCAATTTGATTTCCTTTCTTTTTTTAAATCAAATTAGCCAATTGTCTATTTTATTATTTTTCCCAGAAAACCACCTGCAAGTTTTCTTTATTAGTTCAATGGGTTTTTTTTAATTTTTCAATTGTATTAATCTTTTATTTGATTTTTAGGATTTATGTTTTGGTGTTTAACTGTGTGGGGGGGTTAATTTGCTGTTTTTCTTGTTTTCTTTTTAATTGCATGTCCAAATTAATTGAACCGCTCTTTTACTATGTAAGCATTTAAAGATATAAATATTCACTTAAATACTGCTCTAGCTATATTCCACAAATTCTGGTATGTTGCCTCATGGTTGTCACTATCTTTAAGTGAAATTATTGGCTGTTTCTATGATTTGGTTTTTGATCCACTCATTATTAAGGACTGGGTATTTAGTTTTCAACTAATTTTTCATCTTTGCTTCAAAGATCTTTTACTGAATATAATTTTTATTGCATTATACTCAGAAAAACATGCATTTAATAGTTTTGCTTTTCTGCATTTTTCTGTGAGGTTTTTAATGCCCTAATATATGGTCAATTTTTTGTGAAGATACCATGCACAGCTGAGACATAGGTAAACTTATTTCTATTCATATTCAATATTCTTCAGAGGTCTTTGATATCTAACTTTTCTAAAATCCTATTCATCTTCTTAACTTTTTTGTTTATTTTATGATTAGATAAATCTAGCTCTGAAAGGAATAAATTAAGGTCCCCTAGTAGTATAGTTTTGGGCAACTAAACAGTGCAGTAGACAGAGTGCTTGGCCTGAAGTCAGGAAGACGCATCTTCCCAAGTTCAAATCTGACCTCAGATACAACTAGTTGTGTGACCTGGGCAAGTCACTTAATTCTATTTGCCTCAGTTCCTCAATTGTAAAATGAGCTGAAGAAGGAAATGACAAATCACTACAGTGTCTTTGCCAGGAAAACCCCAAATGGGATCATGAAGAGTCAAACATGACTGAAATGACTGAACAACAACAACTAGTATACTTTTACTATCTATTTGCCCTGGTAGCTCATTGAACTTTTCTTCCAAGAATCTGGATTCTATGCTATGTTATTAGGTATATATATGTTCAGTATTGCTATTACTTCACTGTGCTAACTTCTAGCAAAGTGTAGTTTCTCTGATCATCACTTTTAATTGGTCTACTTTTGCTTTTCTTTCTATGAGATCATACTTGCTACTCTTGCCTTTTTTTACCTCAACTAAAGAATAATAAAATCTACTC